GAAAAGTGCAATTAACGCAGAAATTTTAGAGATATGGAGAGCAAAAGGTATACAAACAGTGATATCTATTAAACATCAAGGATCCACACATTTTAAATCATTTAGAGAACTTTCATCTAAGTTCCAACTACCAGAAGAACATAGACACTACTACAACCACCTAACGAAATATATCAGATCCTGCTATAACTCTAAGAAAGATCTTTTTCACCAATCCTTAATAGATCACGCAATAAAAGACAAAAGATATTCAATATCTGATCTCTACTCTCCACTAAACTATCAATTAACTACACCACAGAGACAAATCTTATTAAAAGGATGGACTAAGGAATTTCAAACTCAGGCACTACAAGAAAAACTCCTTGGAGGCTATTGAAAAATTTGCAATTTAATTGTAAGTGAAAATTGGAGAGAAACTCAAAATTAAGACATTGTGCCTATATGCCTTTTCTAATCGATAAGTCGGATCCCTCAGCCTCAATGTGCCCTTGGTGCGGTACATTTCGCCCCACTCTACTACATAGGTTGTGGAGCTGGACTCGGATATCTGTCTTTTGGGATCAGATCCTCAATTACATACATGCTATATCTAGGATACAAATTGAAAAAAAATCAAATATGGCTATTTGGACACTTTGAACCAATATGTCAATATGTCTACTGACAGAACGATCCTAAAATCTTGGACATCACCAAATGCTCCCAAACTAACCCTGGTAAAGAGAGCCAAAATCTCTAATGTATATAGAAAAAATGGACACGATAACACAAGTCCTCAACTCGATAAGCACTTCTTTAATCGAAGGCAAATCTTCATGAAACACTCATTGTCAAGGTCAGAAATATACCAAATGATGACACCTTTCCTATATACAGAATGGTATATGAAAGAAACCCAAAATAATTCATTAGGCAGACTGCAAATAACCTAAATAATAATTGGTGTCATATATAATATGTATTATTGGCATGTATTTCTTAAGGTTTTTTTCAAGAATATAAACCATGATATTTTATAGCAGCTAGATAAAAGTTATTTTATCTATTTTTCTCTCTATTCACGCATTCTCTTTATTTTTATTTGTCCTTTTTTTAGTTTATCTTTTGCAATGTATCTTTTTATTTTTTTCCTATGTTTTTCTCTCTTGTCCACAAGTATATAGGCAAAGTGTTAATTACTCATCCATGCTTCCAATTTATATAGAAATTTAGTTTATTTATATTGAGGTATGCAAATTTGTACCTCTTGGTTAAAATGCTGTATTAATATTGTATGTTATGGGACTGAAACCAAGACTTATGGTACTATTTCTATACTGTTTATTCTTATTTATTTTTTGATTGACTGTCTTACTTTTTACTGTCTCCTTTCTATTTGCTGAAAATTTCCAATAAAAATTATTTGAAAAAAAAAAAACAAAACAAAAAACATTGTATCTGTTTGAGCGGGTATACTAAAACTAGTACACCTCCTCCATCTAGTGGTTACAAACAAAAAGTGCAATTTACATACACTGTAAGATGAAAATATCTATCCAGTTCTATCAATATCCTTGTCTATGTTAATTCCCTTCATTGTAATGCTTTATTATTTATTAATTATTCATAATATATAACGACAATGGTCTTGAATTTGGTTGGTATCAGGCCCTTGTAATACCCTACACAGCTGCCTTCAGACAGGGGGAAGAAAGGGCAGAACGGGAGCCAATCAGGTATTTTGTATACAAATGTGCTGACAAGGAGCATGCTGATAGGAGAAGAGAGCACAAGGATGATCTAATCAGTCTGGTACTGCTGTTCCACTGTCCAGACTGCAGGCTGGGCATCGAGGGAGGACACCAATATATCCCTTCTACTGTCTACAACTGGAAGGGCTCATTTACACTTGCAGTTGAAGAGCAGTAAAAACAGGCAGTTGAGACAAATTTTTACTGCCCCCCTTAAAGTGGAACTTCACTCTCTTTATCAACATGGACTATTTCTAATCCTTATGCTGCTAGCATTAGTAAATAGATAGGAAAATATATAATATTTACTTGTTTAAAACTTTTTTTTCAGGTAATTCTTGGTTTTCAGGCCCTGGAAAATGATGTCATATATCCCAGGAGGGGAGGGAGGGTTCTCAGCACATCCTATACCTGAGCTAGGGGCAGATGGATTCCAGGAAATAAATGCTAAATTAATCATCTACCCTTACCCTTGTGAAAAAATGATGCAGCAGGCTAGTCCATTTTGCTGAAATTTCATTGCAGCAACTCAGAATGGTACTCAGTAGTTTGTATTTGGCCTCCATGTGCTTGTATGCATGCCTGACAACGTCGGGGCATGCTCCTAATGAGACGACGGATGGTGTGCTGAGGTATTTCTTCCCAGATCTGGACCAGGGCATCACTGAGCTCCTGGAGAGTCTGAACGCGTGCTTATATGCATGCCTGACAACATTGGGGCATGCTCCTAATGAGATGACAGATGGTGTCCTGGGGTATTTCCTCCCAGAACAGGACCAGTGAGCTCCTGGACAGTCTGAGGTGCAACCTGGTGGATTTGGATGAACTGAAACATAATATCCCAGAGGTGTTCTAATGGATTTAGGTCAGACGAGAGTGGGGACCATTCAATGGTATCAATCCCTTCATCTTCCATGAACTGCCTGCATACTCTCGCCACATGAGGTCGGGCCGTATCTTGCATCAGGAGGAACCCAGGACCCACTGCACCAGCATAGGGTCTGACAATGGGTCCAAGGATTTAATCCAGATATCTAATGGCAGTCAGAGTGCCATTGTCTAGCCTGTCTGTGCGTCCCTCCATGGATATGCCTCCCAAGACCATCACTGACCCACCACCAAAACAGTCATGCTCAACGATGTTACAGGCATCATAACATTCTTCACAGCTTCTCCAGACCCTTTCACGTCTGTCAGGGAGACAGAGCAATCCTTCTGGCAATGGCACGTATTGATGTGCCATCCTGGAGGAGTTGGACTGCCTGTGCAACCTCTGTAGGGTCCAGGTATCACTTCATGCTACCAGTAGTGACACTGACCCTAGCCAAATGCAAAACTAGTGAAAAACAGTAAAAAAAAATTAGTAGGGAAAAAAATGTCAGTGGCCTCCACCTGTAAAACCATTCCTATTTTGGGGGTCGTCTCATTGTTGCCCATCTAGTGCACCTGTTAATTTCACCAAAGCAGCTGAAACTGATTAACAACCCCCTCTGCTACTTAGCTGACCAGATCAATATCCCAGGAGTTTAATTGACTTGATGTTATACTCTGACTAAAAAGTGTTCCTTTTATTTTTTGGAGCAGTGTAATAAGGGTGGGAGTAACATCGACAAGCTGTGAAATAAATTTTAAAAAATACTTTTATTATGTTCTTATGTGTTATACTCTGGAAAATATTTGTTGTGCTTCGCTGTCTTAAGCTATCATTTTAATGATTTTTACATGGACTGAATAAATGAATTACATTGTACAGCCCTGTCCAAATGTTTGGTGCAATGACACAATTATTAATTTATCTGTAAGGGGAACACAGGTAGTCACCATTGCTTTGCACAAAAAGGGATTCACAGGCAAGGATAATGCTGCTACTAAGATTTCACCTAAATCAACCATTTATTGGATCATCAAGAACTTCAAGGAGAGAGGTTGAATTGTTGTGATGAAGGCTTCAGGGTGCCCAAGAAAGTCCAGCAAGTACCAGCACCATCTCCTAAAGTTGATTCGGGGCACCACCAGTGAAGAGCTTGCTAAGGATTGGCAGCAGGCAGTTGTTAGAGCATCTGCACACACAGTGAGGCGAAGCGAAGACTGTTGGAAGATGGCCTGGTGTTAAGAAGGGCAGCAAAGAAGACACTTCTCTCCAGGAAAAACATCAGGGACAGACTGATATTCTGCAAAAGGTACAGGGACTAGATTGCTGAGGACTGGGGCAAAGTCATTTTCATTGATGAATCCCCTTTGATTGTTTGGGGCATCTGGAAAAAAACCTTGTTCAGAGAAGAAAAGGTGAGAGTTACCATCAGTCCTGTGTCATGCCAACAGTAAAGCATCCTGAGACCATTCATGTGTGGGGTTGCTTCTCAGCCAAGGGAGTGGACTCATTCACATTTTTGCACAAAGAAAAAGAACACAGCCATGAATAAAGAATGGTACAAAAACATCCTCCAAGAGCAACTTCTCCCAACCATCCAGGAACAGTTTGGTGACTAACAATGCCTTTTCCAGCATGATGGAGCACCTTGCCATAAGGCAAAAGTGATAACTAAGTGGCTTGAGGAACAAAACATTGAAATTTTGGGTCCATGGCCAGGAAACTCCCCAGACCTGAATCCCATTGAGAACTTCAATCCTCAAGAGGTGGGTGAAGAAAAAAAAACCCACACAGATTCTGACAAACTCAAAACATTGGTTATGCAAGAATGGGCTGCCAACAGTCAGGATGTGGCCCAGAAGTTGACTGACAGCATGCCAGGGTGAACTGCAGAGGCCTTGAAAAAGAATGGTCAACACTGCAAATATTGACTCTTTGCATAAACAATGTAATTGTCAATAAAAACCTTTGACACTTATGAAATGCTTGTAATTATACTTCAGTATACCATAGTAACATCTGACAAAAACATCTAAAAACACTGAAGCAGCAGACTTTGTGAAAAGTAATATTTGTGTCATTCTTAAAACTTTTGGCTAGAGCTGTAACAGTGTTATGTGTGCATCACATTATTTAGCACTTTTAAAGTCCCATATCTGGTAATGTTTGTTGTTATTTGTGGTTTCAGGGATGGTGGTGCCTATCCTGAAAACTCTGGCAATATATATTTAGATAGGTGGTGATAGCTGATGTGTTAGAATAGGAGGTCCTGCTCCAGTGTGTTAAAATGATCCAAGAGTGGATTTCCAATGACTACAAGACTCCCACTGCTGATGCTACTGACTAAAATTTGGCCAATAAGCAAAAATTTGGTACCTGCCACCAATACCACTCATGTGATCACTGATTGGCCAATCAGTGATCACATGATCAGGACCTCGCAGAGAGGTCCCATACGACGATCGGTGTTCGTCTGTGTCCGGAGGTGCTGTGCGCTCCCAGGGAGCGTGCACAAGCAGGGGGTGGGGAGGCCGTTTCTAAACGGCCACCCGACCCTGCACTGCCACCGTCCGGCCATTTATATACAACAGCCAGGTGGGAGGTGGTTGAAAGAAAGCTACATTTTTGGTTCTATAGACTTCAATGGAGACGCTGCAGAAAAGCATGTCGTGTTTTTGACACATTTTGTGTTTTATTCTGCCCAGCAACAAGTTGAAAAAAAAAAAAAAAAAAACAACGCATAAAAAATGCAAAACGTACCGCAAAAAGATCAAACACAAACTGCATGGGTGTGAACCTAGCCTTAAGTCCACTTTTGTTGAAAAAAAAAAAAAAAAAACATTCCCCTTTGGGTGATCAATGTACATTGCTGGGATTTCAACAAACTTTGTTGCAGGTTCCTACCCGTTTCTGCTCTGAAGTAATAGCTCTTTGTTAAACAGTGTCCTGTGCACAATGATTCTGAATGGGAGCGACTAAATCATTTTAATTAACTGATGCAATCAGTGTTCTAATGAGAAAACTGCAGTGTCTGCATCCCTTTAGAAGTCATTAACCCTTAGGGAGTATCTCACCAAAAATGACATTTTTTTGTTGCAGAGGATACATCTGACTTATCTTAGTACAGAGTTCTCCAGACAAGCAGGAAATTACATTTTCATCTGTGTACAGAACGCCTCCAGGCTGCCATATTGCATTGAATTTTGCAGAACATTTACAGCACTGCAGTTTAAAAGGAGAGGTATATTTTAATAACATTACAGATGCAGTCCAGTGCGTTTTTTTGTCTGCATCAAAAATGCATGCACAATGTTTTCCAATGGCCCTAGTTCAGTTTCCAGTGCAGAAAAAATAAAATAAAACATGCATTTTTTCTGCCCAGAACTGTACTGGAAGATAGAAAACTGCACCGGAACTGTGTGTGGTATGAACTGTAATCAAAAAACGTATCTGGAATGCATATGGAGTGCATTTTTGTGGTGTGAACTGGCCTTAAAGGGTAACTCCACTTTTGTGGGAAAATAAATAGCAAATAAAAAATTTAATATAGCATATACAATTTCTACACAAGTCATTTTGCAACTTTAAATCTGCAGTACTCTAATTTTCTGTAAAATGCAATGCAATATGGCAACCTGGAGGAGTTCAGTACAGATGGTGTACAGAACACGCCCCTTAGAAATGTAATTTCCTGCTTGTGTGATTGGCTCACTGATTTTATCAGAAGTCTGCACTGAGATACTAAGTCAGATTTTAGGCATCTCCTGCAATAGAAATAGCATTTTTGTGAGATGCTCCCAAACAGAAATCACAACCAAAGAGATGCAGACCTTGTTACTTTCCTGATTAGCGGATAAAATCACTCCCATTAGATTCACTTTGCACATGGACACAGACAAACAAGCAGCTCTTTCTTCAGAATAACAAAATGTAGGAAATTGCAGCAAAGTTTGTTAAAATCCTTGCAATATACATAGATCATCCAGAGGGGAAGGTTTTTTTTTTCTCAACAGAAGTGGAGTTACTCTTTAACCGCTTCCCGTCCACCTTATAGCAGAAATACTGCTACAGGGCAGCACGGGTGTGCAAAATCACGTATATGTACATGTGACTATGTATTTCCGGGTAGGGGGCACACGTGAGGCGTGCCCCCTACCTGCGCCGCCGTTCGTGGCTGAGGCTATCAATCACCGGTTCCCGGCCGGTGATTACTCACCTGCACCTGGTTATTGCCGAGGATCTCTGATGAGGAGGAGAACTGTTTGTAAACAAAACAGTTCTCTTCCCTGTCAGCTCAAGCACATTGCTTTGGATGGCTGTGCAGAGCACAGCCATCCAAAGTAGTGTACTTACAGTGAAGCCCCCTAGTGAAACACACAGTTAACCCTTTGATCTCCCCTCATGTTAACCCCTTCCTGCGCAGTGCCATTAGTACAGTGTCAGTGGGTTTTTTTTAGCACTGATCACAGTATTGGTGTCACTGGGGATGTCAGTGACACCAAGTCAGTTCCCCCCAGTGTCAGAATGCCAGGCGCAGTCCCGCTATAAGTCACTGATCGCCGCCATTACTATTAAAAAATAAATAAATCCAGTATATATACCGCCATTTGTAAACGCTATAACATTCACGTAAACCAATTAATTTACACGTATTTGGATTTTTTTTTTAGCACAGATATGTAGCAGAATACATTTTTGTGTAAATTTGACGAAATTCGATTTTTTTTACATTTTTTTACTGGACATGTTTAATAGCAAAAAGTCAAAAACATTGTTTTTTTTTCAAAATTATCGGTTTTTATTTTTATAGTGCAAAAAATAAAAACCGCACAGGCTATCAAATACCACAAAAAGAAAGCTCAATTAGTGGGAATAAAGGGCGTAAATTTCTTCTGGGTGCAGCATTGCATGACCCGCGCAATTATCAGTTAAAGTAACACAGCACTGTAATACAAAAAATAGCCTGGTAAGGAAGGGGCGTAAATCCTCAGTAGGGCAAGTGGTTAAATTACAACATGGCTTGTGTAGCCATTGTATATGCTTTAATATTTTTTTTTATTTGCTATAGTTTTTTTCCACAAAAGTGAAGTTACTCTTTAACCCTTTCACTGACAGAACTATTTCTTGCTATCTTTTGCACATTTAAAAATAATGTTAGGCCTGAAGATTAGTTAAACCCCCAAACAAAGCAGACACCTTGTACCTTGTAAAAAAAATGTTGGTAATTTTTATGTCATGCAATATTTGGTTTTTAAAGTGTAACATTTCAGTAAAAAGAACACTAAAGTTGATTTTAGGGCACACACATGCAATATATTACCTCATTTTTAGTAAAATATAAAAGACGAGGTTGCACTGAGTAAATATACCCAATATGTCAAGCTTTATTTTTGCGCACATCTGCAAAATGAAAATAATCTTTCGTACCCTATATTTTCCATAGTCAACACATTAAACCCCCAACAGGTCGTCAGCATAGAATTAACTGTGAATATTGGCCCTAGAATTATTGCTTTCATTCTGGCGTTCACAGTAGTATGCAACGTTTATTGCAAGCAATGTTTTCATACTTAGGCACCTCCTGATGGGTTCATTTACGTTTGTGTGTGGTGAGGGGGTGGGGTGGGCAAATAGTTTTTTTGAAGGGGCTTAAGTGCTTGGGTGCAGCCTTATTTTTTGTACTTTTTTTCTTCACTTTACCAAAACTTTATCTAGAACACACAAGGAACAAAAAGTTTCCTATGTGATGTAAAATCTTCAATGAGACATCCGGGTTTAGACCCTGGATGTCTCACCTGCCCTCCATTGAAGCTAATGGAGCAAGGGCCATGGAAAGTGACCCCAGAAACAGGAAGTGACAGGGGTGGGGGTATCTAAACATCCTCGGGTTAGGGTGGCACAAATTACTTGCCTTGTCCTGAGCTCTGACAACCCATGCTACACCACCGGATCAACAAACTTATGTTCACTGGTCCACTTTCCTCCACCCAGTCACACCCACCATGTGCAACGGCAGATCGCTTTCATTAGAGAACCAACAGTCGGATTGTAGGATGTACACAAGCTCCCGCTGATAGCCGTTGGGAGTGTATGTAAACCCCCCACTGCCACCGCTGTAAGCCTTACAGCAGTGACAGTAAAAGGGTTAAGATTTGCTGCCTATACAGGTGCTCTAGTTCTAGCCTGCCAATCAAATTTTTTGTGACTTTTGTCTCTCAGATAATACACTTTAATTAGAATTTCAAGATAAAACCTCTCATGTCTCCCTCTTAAGTTGCGACCTAACCAAGCTGCCTGCGTACTATCCAGCCACTATAAAATATTTTTGGCAATTATCTCTCAGATAATAACATTCTATTTTGTATTTCAAAATAAAATCTGCCTCGTCTCTCCCTCTCAAACTGCAGCCTAACCAAGCTGCTTTCATAGTGTCCTGCCACTCATGGTTAATGTCTCACACATAACCCATTCCATTGTTTATTTCAAGATAAAACATGCCTCATCTCTGCCTCTTAAAATGCATTTCCACTTTTGCATCCACATTGGGATAACACCTACAGTACTTTATATGTGTTATATATCACCATTCACATAGCATAACTTAGAAAAAAATAAATAAAAATTGCAGCTTACCTTTTTTAGATGCTCTGTTCTTGACCCCCCCAGCAAGGAAACATACCAAATAGTTCTTTGTTTACGAGGGGGTTGGGCAGCTGTGTTTACCATAATTCACCCTGACTGTACTGTGCAGGCAAATTTTCATTATCAATTGTAACTAGATATTAACACTATCTGTCCTTACATACAGAGGTTGTGCTTCTTGCATTGTCGGTTAATGAAGACAGACTTGGGACGGGCTCAGTCTAACATTGTACACGTTTTTTTGCAGTTAACTATGGCATCTCCTCCTAAGAAAAAAGTTAAAGAATTTGACGTAATTTTTTGTTAAGAGGATTTCTATGGCTTTTAGGTACTGTATATTGTGGCTACTACTTACACCAGTCAATTTAGGCCTAATACTGTTAGGTAGTTTTTGTCATTTTAGCTGCTTTTTTTATCTACTATTGGCCTGAAAAGTTCTCAAAATTTAACAAGATCTGCTCCCCGTAGACCTCAGTAGGATTTGCTGCTAAGTTTTGAATTACTAGTTTTGGAATACACAGCGGTGTGTTCACAAATGTGTATGGTGCACAATTACAATGAATGAATATAACACAAAAAAAGCCAGGAGGTCACTTGCTAAAGCCATGTGACTGGCCTACCTTCCAATTGCACAGTTTCCTGATGCGTTAAGCAGAGAGAACCTCATGGTTTAGCGCAGATGCTGCAGCCTGCATTTTATAAATGGGCCATAAAATGTAGGACACAGTATGCAGTAACTTTGAAGTTTATAAGGGCTAACAATATTCCTTTTTCTGAATAGTTCTGACCCATACAAGAGGTGATTATTAACACAGATGGTCTAAAACCCATTATGTCAGGACCTGGATCTGAACCCATGATCTTTGTTGTATCTGGCAGTAACACTTCTTACTGAGCCACCCGAGATGCTGGATAGCTCCCTTCTGATCCTTTAGACAATTTTGTCTTGTACCTTGCGTTACATGAAC